CAGGTAAACGACAACCAAAGTAACCATCTAAGAATCCAAAGTTTCACTTCCCAGGCCCCTTCCTTCTTTCTCTTACAAAGTCCATGCTTCTGTGAGTCTGGAGCCATTGCAGTGAACACCACTTCAGATACCAACCACAAAAAGGCCTTGGAGGTGACATCTTCTGACCTCCTTTAACTTCACAAGCAGAAGACAGAATCACCATCAGCGGTGCAAGGCTTAATCCAATGAGGCCAGACATACCACCACTCTCCACCCTTTTTACCAACTTTGACACTAACCATCTCTCCCATGGTACTCACTACTCTACTGGGTTCAATAACTCATTTCAATGGCCATGCAGAACTCACAGACAATATTCACAATTATGGGGTTTATTCGGGAAGTAACAGGCTACAATTCAGGTTCAGGAACATGTTCAGGATACAATTCTTCGATCAGGACAATCTCCTCTCTGCTGTGCCCTCAGACAATCCTCTGGCCCTTGGCCTCTGATAAAATTTAACTGAGAGACTATTATTCCCTTGTTCTGAGTCCTCATAGGAATAAGCCTTGGGCTGCTGATGGTGATTTTGTCTTCCTCTTGTGAATTTGAGGAGCTCTGGTAGCATAGTGCCTAAGGCACTTGACTACTAACCAGAACGCTGGAGGTTCAAACCCACCAACCACTACTTGGAAGGAAGGTTGGGAAATCTACTTCCATAGGGATAGTGCCTCAGAAACCCAAGGAGAAGGCACTGTAAGTCGGATCTGACTTGTTGGCACATATCAACAACAACAGCTTGTGAAGTTAGAGGTCAAAAGATGCCGCCTCCAAGTCCTTTTTGCAAATGTAGATGAAACTTGACAACATTATACTGAGTAAATAAAATAAATCAGTCACAAAAGGACACATATTGTACTATCCTGCTTATATGGAATGGACAAAAGTAAAGGCACCAAAGTGGTTACCAGTAATGAGAGGGAGAGGAGAAAGAGCAGTCTTAACTTAGGGATCATTGAATTTCTGTTAATGGTGGTGGGATAATTTGGAAACAAATGGTGATAGTTGTACAACATGATGTATGTCATTAATATGACCAAATTGTACATTTAAAAAAATGTTAAATTGGCAAAAGTTTTGTTACATATTTTTTACCACAATAAAACAATTTTAAAAAATAAAGTAGAAGGACCAACCCTTTCAAGGGAATTCACTTTTCTCATGTTTCTGTTCCATGAATATTAACAAGTCCTCAGAGACTGGAATAATGTGGACTGGATTTGGCTAATGACTAGTTGTGTGAATTGAGCTCCCTAGGCCATAAACATAAATAATCAGCCCATGCCCTCCAGTCTTTAGGTTAACAGTCCCAGTTCAATAGGCTCCATACATGTGATTCCTTCTCCATCGTCATCTGCATCAGGAAGTCCATGACCTATTCTGTTTTCCTGTCAATCCTGAGGAAAGAGCCTCACCTTCATCACTCACCAGTCAGGGGAAGAACAATGGTCCTGCACTCCTCTGTCAAGCTCCAGCAGACACCCAGCAGAGGCCCGTGAGTGCATGGGAGACAGTGGGTGCAAGAGGGAATGGGGACATTGTTTCTTCATCATCAGGACAAGCAAGACAGTTGGGATGTCCAAATGGGAGGCCCCAAAATTCAAAGTTTCAGCTCGGAGGGCTGTCAAGTTTCTGTTCTTGGTTCTGTTGGAACTTCCGGAACCCTCACTCAGAGCCTGATTTTTTTCTCCACAATTAGATCTAGCTTCTGTAGGCATCTTTCCCACCATAATGGTAAATGGGCTCCTTTAAACTATCCCATAAGCAATCCAGAATGATCACAAAGTGATAATGGTGATGATTTTGATGATGAGAATGATGACAGTATCTGATTCATAACATGAATCTGTGTTGAGGACTTTCTAAGTGCCAGGCTATGAGCTAAGTGTTTTGTGTAGCTTGTTTCATTTCATCTGCACAATCACCCTTGATATATTGTTGCAAGAATTATTATTTTACAGATGAAGAAGAAGAACAACATTTTTTATATAATTTGTACTAGGTCATGGGCTGGAAAGTGATGAAGCCTGCTTGAATTTGGGTAGTCTGATTCTAGACATAGGGTATTTGATCATTATTCTCCCCTGCGAACCTAAACTGCCATTTCAGGTCTCCTTTGACTCTAGGCAGAAACCCCTGGTCACTGTGCTCTTTTTCCTTGAAGGTTCCTGACGTCCTCCTCAGCAGAGAGCAGTATGTGCACCTTGCTCTGTCAGTTATTAGAAAGGTATCTGAAATTAACAACAGGTAGGGATCACAGAAGTAGTTGATAGATAATAATTTAGGACAGATCTTTCTCTTGGCCCTGCTCCTAGATTTTGCCTTAGCTGTCCATTTCCTCCACCTTTCTTGCAATTTTGCCCTCCTCAACCTCAAAGAGAGACATAACACCAAAGTCTCATCAGGTTCCATTCCTACTCAGTAAACTGGAAACAGGTAAAAGGTACACTTTAGAGGATCATTTGATTAAACCTACTGGACTTCTGCTTTAAACTTTCTGAAGTGTAGAGAAGCAGAGTGAAGAAGTTTAATGCATGGGTCTCAGATTGACAGTTTAATTTTGAATACTCTCCGTACTGCTGCTTATCTGTGTGACGTGGAGAAGTTCCTAGTACCTCTGAGCCTGTGTGTTGTCATATGAGTTGACCCTTAGTTGATACAAAAAGAGCTCTAGTGGTGTAGTGGTTAAGGCATTTGGCTACCAACCAAAAGGTTGGTGGTTCAAACACACCAGCCGCTCCATGGAAGAAAGATGAGGCAGTCTACTTCCATAAATATTTACAGTCTTGGAAACCCAATGGGGGTTGCTATTAGTCAGAATTGACTTGATGACAGTGAGTTTGGTTTTTGGTTTAGTTGATAGAAGTGCACTGAGTAAGGGTTAAATAGATAATAGAAACTTATTGTGTGATTCGATAAGTGATGTATGCATATAGTCATGGCAAAAATATATTTTAGGTATTATTATTAATATTGATGCCTAAGTTGCATACCATTCAACTAAAGTATTCTTTTTTAAAAAACACATTTTATTGAAATATAATTATGTACAATGAAATACACAAAACGAAAGTGACATAGGTCAATGCTTTTTTTTTTTTTTTTTGCAGTATTCCCTTTCTTCCCCTCCCACCCCTGGTAACCAACAAAGAAAGTTTCCTTCCATATATAAACCTTTCCTTGGCTTTTTATAATAATGAACTAATGCTGTATTTGTCCTGTGATTGACTTATTTCACTCAGCACAATGTCCTCCAAGTTCATCTATGTTATGTGGTGTTTTGCAGAGTCTACATTATTCTTTTCAAGTAAAGTATTCTTGATTTGAAGGTTTGATTTTCAATGGGTTCCTGACAAAATATTTTATTTTTGTCTTTATACAGGTAGATAGTTGTAACTACTTGAGGACTGGAGGGAAACAACTAATTCTCACTCATTTGTGAGAATTCTTACTGTATTTATCACTAGCAGCAACAGCAACAACAACAATAACAAAAGTCTGTGTCAAATATTGAATATACCTTTCATTGGTCAACAGGATCAGGACTTAGTGTGACATCCACACACTGAGTGTTTTCCTACCTGTGCTCTTGCCCTTTCCAGGGATGTCCCATAGGACTTGAGGCAAGATAAAATAGCACTTGTTTGTTTCTATGTCATAGACTCTATGGGACCTATTAGTTCCCACTTAATAGGACCTACAGCATTTATCATTCAAAAATTTTGTTGAGATTTTATAACTATGAGAGGAAAAAAAGAAAAGGTAGAAACAGAAGGAGCAGGTAAATCTTACTGTGTGGACTGAGGCACATTTTAGGATTTCTAGTCATCCCGTGCACCCATGCCCTGAGATTAGAGAGACAGACTTCTCTGTCATATAATTGAGTGGAAGGTCATTTCCTTTGTTAGGATTGCATTTCATCAATAAACGCACTGTTAGAATAACGATTAAATAATCATTAAAAACAATAATGAAACATTAAGTTCTAAACCTCCCATAGATGCCACATATGTCCTAGAGAAGTACGTTATTCCTCCCATTTCCAGATTAAAAATATCAGCACAGAGAGATAGACAGCTATAAACTGCGGATGCAGTAGGTGAAAGATGTGGTGCTCAGACCTTTGTCTTCTGACTTTGTCTTCAGGATCTGTCCCCTTCACTAGAGCTGAAGGAGTATTTTTCTTTTCAAACTTCTTTTGTCCCAGATCAGCAAACAGAGGCTGTAGATTCCTTTCCTTGAAACTCAGTGAGTTCATCTGTGAAGTTATGAATGAACTAGTGGTTTAGAGGGGGGTTTTCAGACAAGAATATTGAGGATTATGGGGTTTTCTGGGAGCTCTGGTAGCATAGTGCCTAACGTATTTGACTGCTAACTAGAAGGCTGGTGGTTCATACCCACCAGGTACTCCTCAGAAGGAAGGTTGGGCAATCTATTTCTGTAGTGATACCACCTTGGAAACCCTAGGAGGGGTCACTCTGAGTCGGATCTGACTCGACGGTGGTGAGTTTTAGATGGGGTTTTCTATCAATAGTAATGCATTTTAAGGCACAGCTTGAAAATATTTTTAAACATTATTCTCTACATAGGATGAACATTTCATTTGGTGCTCTCATGGGATGACTATTGCCAGACAAAAGTCAGGGATCTTTTTGATTATATACCTTAAAAGGAGAAGATGTAGTAGAAAGTAACTAATTTCCTATTGGGACAACACGTTTAAGCAATTAACAGTAATATTGAGTATATGTATTGTTACAACAACAAAACTATTCTTCATGCATGTATGTTATAGAAATTCTTACTTGTGTGAATGAATGTAGGCAGAAGAGTTTTCATAAGATTGTCAGAATAAGAAATTGATAAAAAGGAAATCTATCCTTTAGGCAATATTATGCATCAGTTAAAGTAGATTCTAGCTAGATGTATATACTTCACAGGGAGACTTAAAACACAGTGTTGTGATAAATGGCAGCATTTTGGGAGACATATGCCAAGGATGATACTATTTAGATAAATCTTCTAAACTGTTTATGTTTATACATAAATCAATACTACCATTCTGGAAACACTGATGGGAAAATATACCAACCAAATTCATAACGGTGGTTGTCCTTGGGGAACAGTAGCAGAAGAATAGGGTCAGGCAGGGATATCAAGAAAAATCGCATTTTAGCTATAACATTCCAAATTTCTATGAAATATTCTCAAATGAATATTAATTTTTTATGTTTTTCATTTTGAGAATATTAAAGATTATTTGTAATATTAATGGAGTATTTACTAAGCGCTTGGTCATGTTCTATGGCAGGGTTTCTCAAAATGGGCTGTATATTAGCAGCAAGAACCTCATATATAGAGATTATTATTCAATTGCTTCGAAGCTGTGGCCAGGGCATAAGTGTATTTTAAAATGTTGTTGTTAGAGGACATCGAGTCACCTCTGACTCATAATGACCCTGTGTACAACAGAACAAAACACTGCCCAGTCGCACCATCCTCACAATCCTTGCTATGCCTGAGCCCATCGTTGCAGCCACTGTATCAATCCACCTTGTTGAGGGTTTGACCCTTCCTTGCTGATCCTCCACTTTACCAAGCATAATGTCCTTCTCCAGGGAATGATCCCTTCTGACAACATGACCAAAGCAGGTGAGATGAAGTCTGACCATTCTTGCTTCCAAGGATCATTCTGGCCATACTTTTTTCAGGACAGATTTGTTCGTTCTGGCAGTCCATGATAATTTAGTTTTCTTTGCCAACACACCACAGTTCAAAGGCAGTAACTCTTCTTTGGTTTTCTTAATTCATTGTCCAGCTTTCACATGTATGAGATGATTGAAAATACCCTGGCTTAGGTTAGCTGCACCTTAGTCCTCGATCTGACATATTTGCTGTTCAACACTTTAAAGAGGTCTTTTGCAGCAGATTTGCCCAGTGCAATACAACATCTGATTTCTTGACTACTGCTTCCATTGGTGTTAACTGTGGATCCATTGAAATGAAATCATTGACAACTTCAGTCTTTTCTCCATTTATCATGATGTTGCTTATTGGTCCAGCTGTGAGGATTTTCATTTTCTTTATTTTGAGGTGTAATCCCTACTGCAGTCTGTAGTCTTTAATCTTCATCAGTAAATGCAGCAAGTCCCCTTCACTTTCAGCAAGTAAGATTGTGTCATCTGATATCAACAGGTTGTTAATGAATCTTTTTCCAATCCTGAAGCCATCTTCTTCAGATAGTCCAGTTGGCCTTGTAAAATTCTATCATGTGATCGCTGGTGTCAATTCTATCCCCAATGCCGTATTTTCCAACTACTGGGGATTTGTTTCTAACTTTCACTTTCCAATTTCAGTAATCACCAATACTTGTTGATTGTATGTTTGGTCGATTTCAGACTGCAGAAGTTGGTAAAAATCTTCAATTTCTTCATCCTTGGCTTTAGTGGTTGGTGTGTAAATTTGAATAATGGTAATATTAACTGATCTTCCTTGTAGGTGTATGTCACTGACAGCATTACACATCAGGATAGATCTTGAAACATTCCTTGTGATGATGAATGCCACGCCATTCCTCTTCAATTTGTCATTCCCAGCATAGTAGATCATATCATTGTCTGATTCAAAATGGTCAAACCAGTCCAGTTCAGCTCAGTAATGTCTAGGATATTGATCTTCATGCCTTTCATTGGGAGTTATATTTGAAAAGAGTTTTGAAAGGCATTCCACATCTTTGAGTGAGCACTTATTTCCATGAAGGAAGGAAGTCATAAAATCAAAGAATGATGAAGAAAATAACTGGCATATGAAAATGCTTTCTGATTATGAACAGTAGACTTTAATTTAGATCCCAGATAATGTTGTTCTAACTCTTATAGAGTGTTTGCAAATATTCTAAATCAAGCAAATTTCTGAGACTGAATAAATAAAGTTCCCTTCCCATTGGTTAGTTTGTCATACTGTGGTGGCTTGTGTGTTGTAATGCTGGAAACTATGTCACCCATATTTCACATTCCAGCAGGGTCACCCATGGTGAATAGGTTTCAGTGGAACTTCCAGACTAAGACAGACTAGCAAGAAGGACCTGGTGATGTACTTCTCAAAAGTTGGCTTAAGAATAGTAGTGAAACATTGTCTGATATAGTACTGGATATCTGATATGCTGCATATGGTCTATAGTACTTAGGTTGAAAAGCACTCAAAATACAACTGGGGAAGGGTTTTCTCCTTAAATTAGAATTGACCTTAGTGCTATGGATGGAATAAAGCTTTCAGGACCTTTATTTGCTAATGTGCCATGACTTGAAAAGGAAGAGCTGTAAAAAAAAAAAAAAAAAAAAAAAATCCATTAATAACTAGAATGTGGAGTGTTTGAAGTATGAATTTTGGAAAATTGGAAGTTATAAAAATTAAAAGGAATGCTTAAAGATAGTCTAGGAATTAGTGAGCTGAAATTGACTAATGTTGGCCATTTTGAATTGAATAATCGTATCTTCTGCTATGACAGGAATGACAATTTGAAGAGGAATGGCATTGCTTTCATTACCAAAAATAACATTTCAATATCCATTCTGAAGTATAATGCTATAAGTGGTAGGATAATATGCATACACTTACAAGGAAGACCAGTTAATAGGACTATTATTGAAATTTATGCATGAACCACCAGTACCTAAGATGATGAAACTGAGTATTATGACCAATTTCTGCAGTCTCTAATTGATTAAACATGCAATAACTGACCCCAAGGAGGGTCAGTAGTTGGAAAATATGGCCTTGGTAATAGAAAACATTGGAGATTGCATGATACAATTTTGCAAGACCAACGACCTACTCACTGGAAATACTTTGTTTCAACAATGTAAATGGCAATTATACACATGTATCTTACCAAATGGAACACAGGAATCAAACTGACTGTATCTGTGGAAACAGATGATGGAGAAGCTCATTATCATCAGTTAGAACAGGCTAAGGGCAGGGGAAAACTGCAGAACACACAACCAACTCTTAATATGTAAGTTCAGGTTGAAGCTGAAGAAATTTAAAACAAGTCCAGGAGAGCCAAAGTAGGACCTTGAGTATATTCCTTTTTAATTAAAGACTATCTCAAGAATAGGTTTGACACAATGGACATGAGTGATCAAAGAGTTGTGGGATGACATCAAGAGCATTATCCATGAAGAAAACAAAACGTCATTAAAAAGACAGGAAAGAAAGAAAAGGCCAAAATGATGTCAGAGGAGACTCTGAAACTTGGTCTTGAATGAAAAGTAGCTAAAGCAAATGAAAGAACTAATGAAAGAGCTGAACAGAGGATTTCAAAGGGCAGCTCAAGAAGACAAAGTAAAGTAGTATAATGAAATGTGCAAAGACCTGGAGTTAGGAAACCAAAAAAGGGAAGAACACACTTGACATTTCTGAAACTGAAAGAACTGAAGAAAAAATTCAAGCCTCGTGTTGCACTGTTGATGGATTCTATGACAAAATAATGAACAATGCAGGAGGCATCAAAAGAAGATGGAAGAAGTACATAGAGTCACTGTAACAAAAAGAATTGGTCAGTGTTCAACCATTTCAGAAGGTGGCATTTGATTAAGAACTGATGATATTGAAACAAGTCCAAGCTGCACTGAAAGTATTGGTGAAAAACAAGACTGCAGGAATTGACAGCATACCAATTGAGATGTTTCCACAAATGAATGCAGCACTGGGAGTCTTCACTTGTTTATGCCAAGAAATTTGGAAGGCAATTGCTTGCCTTGCCAAGCAATTGGAAGAGATCCATATTTGTGTCCATTCCAAAGAAAGGGGATCTCAACAAATGCAGAAATTTTTGAACAGTATCATTAATATCACACACAAATAAAATTTTGCTGAAGATAATCCAAAAATAGTTGCAGCAGTACATAGACAGAAAACTGTCAGAAATTCAATGGATTTAGAGGAGGATGTAGAATGAGGGATATCATTGCTGATACCTGATGGATCTTGTCTGAAAGAGAATATTTGAAAGATGTTTACTTGTGTTTTATTGACTGCAAAGGCATTCAACTGTGTGGATCATAAGAAATTATGGATAATATTGAGAAGAATGGAAATTGAGAACACTTAATTGTGCTCATGAGGAACCTGTACATAGACCAGGAGGCAGTTGTTTCAACAGAGCAAGTATTATACTGTGTGGTTTAAAAATCAGGAATGGGTACTTTAGGGTTGTGTTCTTTCACCATAATTATTCAATCTGTTTACTAAGCAAATAATCTGAGAAGCTGGATTATATGAAGAAGAACATGGCATGAGGATTGGAGGAAGACTCATTAACAGCTGGTGATATGCAGATGACACAACTTTGCTTGCTGAAAGTGAAGATGATCTGAAGCACTTACTGATGAAGATTAAAGACTACAGTCTTCAGTATGGATTACACTTCAACATAAAGAAAAGAAAAATCCTCACT